AGAGTTTCTGAGCCAACATTTTGATTGCTAAGCAAGAGCGTTGTTAAGTGAGTTTCACCACATTTTACAAGTTGGCCACGCCCACCAAGTCACATGGCTGACAAGCCACTCCCACAAAGCAGGCCACACCTACAGAAGAGGTTCTAAAAAAATTTGAAACCCACCATTGGTCACCTGTGACTCTTCAATCCCCATGCCAGTTGGCAAATCCAGGTCTTTATACTCTTCTGGAAGGCCAAAAGAGCTGGGCACAATCTCACCTCTGGAGGCAAAATATTTTATAGGGTGATGGCAATGGCAGAGGAGGCTCTTTATCTAGGTCCTGCCAGTCAAAACTACCTAACCAATTGAGCAGGTAACATACCTTCCGTGCCTGACCTGATGCAATGGGGTGATGAAATTGGGATGCTTCCTCAGATATTATTTTTCAACATAGTCTGGCAAATTTTATTTTGCGGACCCTTAAGAGGTCTTAAGGGGACACTCACGGGTCCGAGAATCACATTTTAAGATAAAATAATAAATAATATTGGTTTAAATTAATTACTGTATTTTTCAGAGTATAAAACTTTTTGCCTCAGAAAAGATGGTGAAAATCTGGGTGCATCTTATACACTGAATACAGCTTTTTTCGCCTCCCAAAACCCCACCCCCTTCACCAAAATGGCTGTGCATAGCCTTTAGGAGGCTTCTAGAGTGCTCCAGGGCGCTGGAGGACAGAAATGAGCAAAAAACGGGCCATTTTTTCTCGTTTTTGCTCTCCAGCCCCCAGGAATACTCTATATGCCTCCTAAAGGCTGTGCCTGCCCTTTTTTTTTGACAAAAACAGGCCCATTTTTGCAAAAAAATAGATTTTTTGGGTGGTCTGCAGAGTGCAAAAACTTTTTTTAATTTGCCTCTTCAAAATCTTGGTGCATCTTATACTCTGAAAAATATGGTAAAAGGCTATTTCTACAACAAACATTTTGTAAATAAGCTGATTAATTCTGAACAACTAAAACTTAATAAGTGTGGTATTAATATATTTAGCATGAACCTCCAAAATTATTTTTACCTGTCCATTATGTTTGTCAGAAGGTCTCATTAGTTATGGGCAGAGTACATAGGATAGAATGGAAACAATTTATTTTTAGAAAGCCCTTCATAATTTGAGTGGTAGTAAATACAGAAACAGATGCAGAAAAGATGACCTAAGTGAAATTTTTGCATAGAAATCTGAGATGGAATCTCCCAGGGGCACAGACTACAGATCCCCCCCAGCCACAAGAATATGCCAGATCCCCATTACTGGTATTAGAAGATAGATAGATAGATAGATAGATAATTTTCCTCTGAATAAAAACATTACAAATTCTTACTTAAAGAGAAATAGAGAAAAATAATAGGAAAGAAAAAAGAAATGAAGTTGAATTGAATGAAAAAGAGATAATAAAGAAGTGGTTTTTAATCTACTTAATAGCAATTATAAGAATATTTGTATTTTACCCTTTTTACTAAGGTTATATCAAAGTTTCTTTCTTTCCATAATCTACCCTTTCCAATCATAAGGTTCATAAACCATCCAATTATTTTTTTCTAATTTGCAGCAAAAAATAATATCCACTATTATTCTACACAGAAAAGCAACAGTTCTACCTATGAGTTTACTACAAGGGATTCAGGATTGAAGTAATAACGATGTTTAGCATCCCATTGCAACACTACAGGCCACATGCTTCTGCACTCACCTAAGCGCCATACAAGTGTAAAGGTCCCATTTCAAGTTTGTCACAGGCTATAAGTAGTCCTCGTCTTATGACCATAACTGGAACTGGAAAATATGTTGTTAAGCAGTTTGGTCATTAAGCAAAGCATCATGACCGCACTTAATTTTGTTGGTCACAAATGGCAATCATGTGACTAAAAAACTGTTGTAAATGTAAGCTGGTTACCAAGCATCCAGACTGAAATCATGTAACTGTAGGAACACTAAGACAGTCATAAGTGTGAGGGCTCATCATAATTTCAAATAGTCACTAACAAAAAGTTACAAAGAAATGGTGGTAAGTCAAGGAATACCTATAAAGGTTTCCACTTTCTTCAAGTATGAGAACTCACACCTTGAACTATAATTTAATCCTTATTAACTCTTCTTAGACAAAATAATACTTTCAATTGAATGAAAAAGGAAACTACCCTTTGTTACAGATTGTCAATAACTGCCTAGAATTTACTTGGTTTATTATTCTTAATATACGTATAAACTCACAAAAGTGATCCAGTAAGCTAACATACTTTTAGTCTGATGTAACCTTAGGCAAAACATTTTAAAAGAGAATTGTAATACTGAATTCCAAAAGACAAAACTCTTTTTTTTAAAAAGATTTCTTATTTTTCTTTATCTTAACAGCATCCCACACAAGCAAGCAGGAAGCCAAATAGGCTTCTTAACCACCACAGGACCTAATCATGGACACTCAAGACTTAGAAGGCTCAAGAGAACAGAGATTCTAACTCAAAACAGTAGATACAAAGCAATTTGGAAATGAAACTCATAATTATATTCAGGACAGTAATATTCCTATGACTAACTCTTGCATTGCTTGTCCTTTGCACCTCACTTTAACAAAAAGCCAAACATTTTAATGCAAGCAGTTACAAATAGCAGCAACCTCATAAAACAACCACTTCAGAGATATTCTTATTTGGCCTTGAAGAGAATGTCTCTTGTAGGATTATGCTTGCTTTATTTTAAACAATAAATAAGGTCCTTTAGTCAGATCAATTTTACCTATCCACAAATATAATAAATTACTCAATTCATATTGGATGCCTGCTTTAAGAACTTAACATATCTATATGTGCACTTAATAGTTGAAATAACCACTTCATGCAATGAGGTATAAATCCTTCTGCAAAAATATTATTGGGTTGGCTGCTGTTTTTAGATGTAACAACTTTTCCCCTGAATTACCTAGCCTTCAATAAAGTAACAATAAATATGAACAATATGTCAATGCTACAGTTGAAGATAAAACAATTCTTATAGCAGCACTTCGTACAAATACATTGCTTGCATCCCACAAAAACTCATAATAGCTTGGTTCACATAACAAGCAAACTCAAAAAAATCCCACCATATGTCCAAACTTAGAGGTGGAGTGTATGTGTATACATGTGTGCACCAGACAACTGTTCGTAATCCTTTTCTCATTTATCAAGAAATAGGTTCCATTTAATTACATGGAATGTACTTCTGAATGGGCAAATGCAGAATTGTTCTATTACTCTTATATCACACTCTTTTTTCTATTTATTTACTGCCACAGCACAACCTTTACAAACCAACCACAATGAAAATTCTTAAGCCAATCCCTGTGTTTATTCTTTAATACTTCCACTCACAACAATGAATATAGGGCCACAGCAAAACATAATTATTTGCAAAATTACTCCTGAAAAGTAAACTTTTGATTCCAGGTATTATCAGTATCATGGTTGTCATTCCCAATCAATTCCGGGCCCATGAACTGATCAGCTTCTTATAACTATAAAAAAATGTAATCTTCAAACCTATATTTTTAGTTAAATCTTTCTAGTTTTACTAAAATAGTATATTTCCCCCTGCTTCATGTTATTTTATCCTGATATATTTGCATGCCTACCTGGCATGTGACACTTGTTGACATCAATGTATACTATACAATGTATAGTATACCACACAATATCAGTTTGTTGTATCATATGTACATGCACTAAAAAGACAAAACTGACAGCAAGTATCTGAAATGTGTTTCTATGCAAAAGAAATGCTCAAAATTACACTTATTTTCATATTTTTGCTATTACTCTTGCAGTGACTTTTATGTGAAACGGTTGTACCAACCTTGCAAATCAAATTAGAAATGCACGAATAACCTTTCATCTCGTAGAACTGGTTTATCTTTCACTGATGTAAAGATAACCTACACTCACAAATTACAATGAATTGTAGAAATTAATTCTATAGACAAATGTTCTATCAAAAGAATATTTTGGCTTCAAAGTAGTTTTAAAATTCCAGATTTATACTAATAATTGAAACCGTAAGCAGGAAGAAAAAAAATGTTGTAAACGAAAAAATATATATATAATTAAATCAATAAAATATTACATCCCAATTCTGGCAAATGGTTGTCAATAAGAAGCAAGGAAAGTTGGGAATTCCTATAAAAGAAAAAAATAACAGATTCAATCCTGCTTCTGCAATAAGTTACTTTTCAATATGCCAACTTTGATGATTATGTGCCAGGCAGAATAAGGTACATTTGTACTATTCACTTTACTAAATCATTCCCATTTCAATTTTCATCTGAAACACATAAGCAGATATATGGAAAAAATCTGCCCCACAACAACTTCCTTCAGCCTAATGTCTTCCAGATGGAATTAAATTTTAGCATCCTAGTTCAGACAGTTAATGGTTCTAAGAACAAGATTATCTGGAGTGCACCAGGTTGCAGAAGGCTGCCCCTTAACTGACTGACCTTCCTCCCCTCTATTTGTGCTTCTCTAAAGCAGCAGGTGGCCCACAGTAAAATAAATTTCCAGAAAACTTATTTGGTACCCCAAGGCTGCTTACAGATGGTAATCCTGGAGTTGGTGGATTTGCAGTAATTGAAGATTCAAGCCTTTCTATCAAGTTTCCTAAGTTGATGGGAGTTGGATTTGGATCTTCCTTTTCAGATACTTTCATGAGACTGAATTGGTTTTCTTTCCTCAGATCAGCATCTCCAGGTAAATAAGGCATTGAGGGTAGATCCGTTTTCTCAGTCCTGCTCCCTATAGCCGACTCTTGGTAAGAATTATTTTGTACATGCTTTGGAGAACAAAGTGGGGTTGATAAGAGGGCAGAAATGGTCTCATTGGGTCTAATTTCTACACAGTCTCCTAGATGGAGGTCTGCCCTGTTCTCAGAGTCGGTTTCCTTACTGCAGGTGGCTGTAGCTCTATTTGCCATCCTCAAGAGAATTTCTTCCTCCGGATTTTCCTCAGCTGTGATGAAGGAGGCTTCTGAATCCTCCTCCTTGTCTTCCTCGGATGAAGAAAAAGAGTCAAAATCCAGAGTCCTGGCAGAATCCTGCAGATGGTAGTCTCTGGAGCCATCTAACGACAACGACGAACTGCAAAGCTCCAGGGAGTCCCGGCTGGAGTCGTTCATTTCCAGCTCCTGCAAGGAATCAGAGCCATCTTTTGAGCTATTGAAATATTCAGCATTGCCCATGGAGGCCAAATCCTGCAGCTTGCGCAGCGGGATATAAAAGGAGGAAGGCTCTTGACCGAATGCAGCCTCGGACGCTGCTGGAGGAACCCCCACGGGGCACCCATTAGGGAGCTCGGGGCTATCACTCCGACCCTCCCCCACGTAGGGGCTGCTGTCCCCTTCCTCCTCCAGCGCGTCTAGCCCCAAAGGAGTGGCGAGAGAGAGCAGGCAGCCCCTCCTGCTCACTTCGCAGGCCTGATCCATTCTGCGAGGCGGGCATCAACCTGTGAAGTAAACACAGCAACAATGGGGTCAGCCAAGCCCTCCATGGCCTTGTTCTCCAAAATGGCAGCCATTCCTCCTGCTCCTCCTCCTTTTCTCGGCGGCCGCTGCCGCGGCAGAGGCCCGACAGCCGCCTTCTGCTCTGGCCCGGAGGCCGCAGAACGTCTAACAAGCCGGGTGCGGGCTCCTTCCCCCGACTCTCCACTCCCAGCAACGCTGCCTCCTAATCGCCACAACCTGACGTTGCCTTCATAACAAGGGCAGCATCCATCCTGCTGTTGCTTGCCGGGAGCACCGCAGAGCAGAGCAGGCCTGGCCTGGCCTTGCCGCACTCCCCGCCCCACCTCCCCGAAAGCTCCAGCTGCTACACAGTGAACGGTCGAGCAAAGGCTTCTGGACTTTTCATCCCTCCTCCTTTTCCTACCGCCCGGCTTCCCTACTAGGCCCGACAGAAGCAAGGATTGCCCCCCCTCCCCTTTGCAAAGGCCCATCTGGAGTGGGCTGCAGCGCCCTTGCCATGTCCGGATGGAATTTGGCTGAAGAAAACGCTTTAAAGCCTTTTTTGGAGAACGGGGAAGTCGTTCCTGAAATTTACCTGCCCCCTCCCTCAGTGCGGGGCCAAAACGAAGAGCCGACTTGGCTCCTCCGGCCCCTACCCGCTCCGACTCCAGCACAGCAGCCTGCCGGCCTCTTGCGCTTAGCTTGCTTGCTCGCTCGCTCTTTTCCGCTCAGGCGCNGTGTTCTCCAACACAACTCTCACAACGCTTCGCTGAACGTACTTGCTCTCCCAACGGGGAGCTTACCTAACACTTTTCTAATATTTCTTTAGTTCTCCCAAGTTGGTTAGAATCATCAAATGCCAAGAAAAGCTAATTGGGAGCAATTAAGCAATGTGTTACCAATAGGCTTGCTTGTTCATATGAGATTATAGTTCTTAAGTTTTGACTTTCCATGGGAGAATAGTTTTCTCTTTTATGCCTTCCCAAGCTAAATGTTACTTGGAATTTTACAGCAGTTATTATATAGAAAAGGGGCCCCAAGCCTCAGTCCGTGGACTGGCACTGGTCTGTGTCATGCCAGAAACCGGTCTGTGCAAACAAGCAAAGCCCCATCTGCGGGATGCAGGCAGCACAAAAAACCATGCCTGCTCTGGTCTGCGGAAAAACCTGTCCAAGGAATTGTTCCCGACTGTCCAAAAGTTTGGGGGCCACTGATATTGGACATAAATTTGACTATAATTGCTAAGCCAAGATTGAAAATATATTAATTATGGCCTCACCTCAAATTCCAGAGCAAATGAACCATATAAATAACACAATACTCAGCAATCTTCCTTGGTTAGATGCGATTTTTGAACAGAATCTATCTATGCAAATCTCTATAAATAATTTGCTGATCTCTGCACCCATCGATAAACAAGAACATTCTTCTGCAGCATCTTATGTAATTTGTGGCTTCACAAGTCTTAAAGACATTTTGTAAAAAAGTTTATGGAATTAATTCAGCTGATAACCAATTAAAGTTCTACTATTTACAGGGTAACCTTTTATTAAGCCTGAGACAAGTCATATTAAAGAATATAGATACAATCACTAATTGTTCAAAAAGAAATTTTAGCTACACTTCAAATGATGGTCTAAAAAACTGAAAATAAGTTGAAGAATGTAGGGACAAACCTTATTTCTTTCCCTACGCATGAGAAATAATAAATTTGGATACACTAAAAGTGCTCAGAAAATCCTTTTCCTACTTCTCTTTTCAAATAACTTTACTCCCATCAAGATTTTTCATCTCAAAAACATCACATTGACTCTGAAATATAATAAGAATCACAATTTATTACCTTTTCTGAACTGGAAATATGCAAATCTGAAATCATTTTGCACTATGGAAACTACTTGTGTCTCCCATTGTATGAAAGATGCACTCCCCATATATACTTACATTCAAGAAAAGGATATTCTAGGTTCAACTATGATTTTAAAAAATGAATTATAATAATTTGCATAAATATAATATTCCTTTGATAGCACAGAAAATTATTCACAAACCCCAACATTCCAATGCATTGTATCATAATATTACTATCAGTAAGTGCTTCTTTATGACAGTTTCTCACAATATTTTCCTTTTTCTATCTCTCTTGTTTTTCTATCTCCTTTATGAAGAAAAGATATACATTTTTAAAAGCAAGCCAACTGGTGTCAAAAATTCACAGACCAAATTCTCTGTACATAAACCATGAACAATCAATATTCCATTAAAGAAATGCAGTTTTAGGGTAATGAGAAGTTGGGGGAGAATTCTTTTTCAACTACTATCAGTTAGTAACTATATGCAAACTCTGTCAAAAGAGAGCATCAAGATTCACTATAACTCAGCACCAATCACACCAGGATCCTAGTATGTAAATTTCACCCCAAAAACTATAACCCTGGTTGCACAACCTCCAACTTAGGGCTCCAAAATAGGGGCCTAAGAAACTTCAAAGCGCATCTGTAGGCCAGCCATATGTGGGTCATTACTGGCTGTGCCACTCAAATAATCTGAGCATCATATACTTTTGTTCGGCAAGATAGGTAATGAGGATGTCTCCTTCCTCTGTGGAAAGATGCCACATAGCCATGTCACCTACAGAGTCCCCAGCTGGAGGTAATGGACAATGTGAACCAAAAATCTGGTGATGCATCTGCTACCGAGGGTTTCAGGACAAGTTGTTCTTTCCATTTGGAGTGATCCAGTTTGGATCCCAGTAACCAACTATCCATGAGCATTGTATAAATCATGTATTTTTTTTTGCATAGCCTTTTGAAGAAAGCATCTCTTCAAGTGTCCAAATGATCAGAGTTTCCCAACAATTTGGTACAGCTGCTGTGAAGGCCTTCCACTGCCAAGTGGATATATATCTGCATGCAGGGCTAGTGGCGAAACAAAGCAGCTGCAAATAGCCCTGGTGGAAATGCCTCCTGTGCTTGCAAAATCCATGGGTGTATGACCTTCACAACAGCAGCATCAACTTTTTGGAGGACACATCTGCCATATCTCTTGCGGAAGCAATTCTTCACTGTGAGTTACTAAATTGTCTAAAACGAATTTCCTTCAAAAGAATGTGTCCTAATCACTTCATTATGGATGTAGCAGAAAGACCTATTTCAGTTGGAACATGGGACCCCAACCCGTCTGTGTACTGCACAAGTAAGGGGCAAACTCGCAAAGCTTCATTTGTGCATGAGCAGGAGGTAGGTTGTGCATGCAAAACTAGCCCCTCGCCCCTCGCCCCTTGCTGCCACCGCCACTGCTGCTGCCAGTCCATGGAGTCAGAAAGATTGGGGACTGCTGAGTCAAACTACTGTCTCTTGTCTTGAACATTAAGATTCTGCAGATGTTTCAAAAGGATTTGAAAGGTTTCTGCTATTTATGAAGGGAATGTCCACAGAAGTACAGGAAGTGAGTTTTCTGAACATGATTTCATTATTTAAACTATATCTATCCCACTTCCCATCAAAGGTCCGTATTTAATATACTGGATATGGGTTTTTCTGACAATATATATGCAATATTTATTGCTTGAATTGCATTTAAAAGGTGCTTAATGATGGTGAAAGCATTTCAAATCCCCAAATATCTACAGACTTTATTGCAGAAGCAATGATCCAAAATGTAATTCCCTATAGCAATTATATCACAGTTGAGAATTAGCTATATATATTCCTGAATTTAATACACACACACTACCCTACAAGCTCCATTATATATTCAATTTACAAACGCTTATTCTCACTTGAAAATATATTCACTTAAAAATCAACATAGGTACCATTCTAATGTGTTTGGAATTCTCCTGTACTAAGTTAAGAACTGAATAAATTTTGATATTAATACAAGATTAAAATATGCACATGGCAGAAACTAACAAATCAAGCCTAGCCAAAACCTTTTTTTAAATAATCCACCTATCCATAGCTATAATTATTCCACATGTCCAATAAGTGCCTTTTCATAATGCACTTTAAACTGGTTTTCAGCTCCGCTGAGCTTATTGAAAACACCAGAATAATTCATGTTTGCATAAATTAACACTGTGTGTGTTATCTACAGGGGATATTATTTCTGCAGTTTTCTCTTTTTTTTATTAACTGATTTTCCTTACTCATTAGAAAGGGGAGGAAATATTACACTCTGTAGTCCACCAATGAACTGATTTGGCATTCAATGGTTGCAATGGCGCCCCCTGCTTGGTTATATTTATTAATGTGGATGAAAGGATTTTAATTGTGTTTTTAAAAAATGGGAATATGGCTACAAATCAGTCAGAAACCGTTTCTTCTGCAATAGTAGCATTTCTTTAGTGTTTTAAATTGTTCAAACATTAACTTTATAGATTGGACCAGGACCATTTTTAATCAGCTTTTAATTCAGTGGGCAATTTTATTGGAAGCTGGAAAAAAACAAGGGCTTCGTAGGGTCTTGGACTAACTTAGAGCCTCTGTGATTCTCAAAAAGTTATTTTCACAAATTAGAGAACTCATCAGAACATTGGGCTCAGTTCTGAAAGGGATGGCTGGCAAAGATGGCTCTTCCTTTTTTTGCTAGGAGGAATGCTCCAAAAGGGAAACTGCTTTATCCAACCAAGCCTCTAGCTTCTTGACTCTCATCTCCGTGTTCTATAAATGTACCATATTTTTTGGAGTATAAGACACACTTTTCCCCCCTAAGAGAGGGTGAAAATTTGGGTGCATCTTATACACCAAATGTAGCCCCACCCACCACTCTTTGGCCTCTGCCTCCCAGCAATTTGCCTTCTTGCAGCANTGCGCGCTCGCGCGCGCCCCCTGACT